GTTTTATATTTCTACATGCGTTCTATATTCTAAAAAAATTAGATTAAAATGGAGTTGATTATGGAAAATTGACTAATTGTCGCAATAAAAAACGGGGAAATGTCTAATCGGTTTGAGCAGTTTGTCGTAAGCCTCGCTGTGTCTGACTTTCTAACTGGCCTAAAAATGTTGTCACAAGACGTTTTACTTTTCGAATTTTTGAAACACAATCACAATTTTCCTACAAAAGTAGAAGAGTTTTTGGAAAGTTTATTTTTATTTCTATTTTTTTCAACAAGTACAGCTGTTATATCGGTTGGCATTGAAAGGGTAATTGCGATACTATTACTGCTTAAAATTTATATTTTCAGCTGTTTTAAATGCAAATTTTATACACTGGTTTTTACTTGGGGAATCGCATTAATATTTTCACTTATAACTATGTTTATTATGAAAATGGAAAATGGATATGCATATTTTGGATATATTTTATTAGTTATTTCGTAATGCAAGTTGGCATTATACTTGGTGTTAGTAATTGCTTTAATATCAAAAGGAGTTTCAACATCAGACTATTTATTTAATGAAAATCAAGATCTCGAAACTAGTTTGGTTTGCCTCTTAATTGGTTTTTCATTTGCAGTTTGCATTCTACCAACTGCTATCAATCACGCGTTTAACCTTTTTCAGTACCCCATTACTACATTGCTTTTTAACTTATACCATTTAATTAATCCCTTTGTTTACTTTGGTCGACAGTACATAGGTGGAGCATGTGGAGACAAAAGAATACATCGGCAAGATCATTCTTTGCAAGATATTTAGAGCAATGTGGTTATGGATATTCTGATTTTTTTGTATTTTATTCTATTTTATTGTTTGTTTGTTTTTTTAATTGATGCATATAATGTAGTAAAGGTATATAATGACATTCGACGGCGTGACTTCACTGAGTCGAATCCATCAGGAGCAATTGAGTATTTTTTTGGTCATCGATACCTGTCGGTTTTTGAAGCCCTTCATTAAAAAGCTAGAAAAAAAGTTTAATGTTATACTGGTCATTATTTGTGGACCTTAATAAATGCTAAGATGACTTAACCAAGACGGTCTGGATCCGTCCTTGTGACTTCATCAATCAAGAGAATCAATTTTTTTCGTCTCTCTAAAAAAAAATAATTACATTTATTAATAAAAAATTTTATTATTGCGTTTAAGCATTTTACTGTAACTTTTTAAAATACACATCAGTTAATAGAGATTTTAATTAGGTGCTACACCGTTGCCATAATTTAAATTTTGTGTTAAAAAAAATTCAAAATTTGAAGGATTTAATGATGAAAATCAGTAAACAATCAAATAGTTTTGAATTCTGCATTTATTAAAATGTATAAATAACTAAAAATATTATTTATAATTTTTGGGTAAATTTAGAGGAGGTTTCCCCCTTAATCGCAAACAATACGTATCTTATAAAAAAAGATACACTCAACTGGAATACATTATCTGCGGAGTTCCGCAGGCATCTATATAGGACCTTTACTGTTTATTATTTATGTAAACAATATTATCTCATCATCTAGTATACTAAATTTCAATCTTTTTGCTGATGACATTCAAGTTTTTTAAAACCATTCCAACATTGTGATAAAAGACAATTTTTATCACATTGAAAAGGTTTAAAACCAACAAACTCTCTCTGAACACAATTAAAAGCAAATAAACTCTTTTTTCTAAATCTTCTAAATCTGGTACCTGTACTCTTAAGACTTCCAGATCTTTCATTATAAACAACTATGTTGCAACGGACATACTGTATTAAATTTTTAGGCGTTATACTCGATGAACAAATAAGTTTGAAAAGCATATTAATCTAATAGAAAACAAAATCTCAAAAAGCATTGGAGTTATGAACAAAACAAAAATTCATGTTGAATAAAAATTGTTTAAAATCTATGTATTTTTCATTTATTTGTAGCTACATTAGTTATGTAGTATCGCCTGGGCAAGCAATTACACGACAAAGCAAAAGTGTATCTTAAAAAAACAAAAACAAGCTAGTAGCCTAATATTAAATGCTAATAAATACGCCAGTGCCAATTTGCTCCTTAAAAAACTGGGAGTGCTAAATGTTTACGGATTAAATATTTATAGCATTCTTGTATAGATTAAGAAATTGTTGCCAAATATTTTTGAAGACCTTTTTTTTATAATAGATCAACAATACAAAACAAAGCATTCAATGCATAATTATCAGGTACCAAAACATTCTTAAAACAATCTGAATTCTCAATAACATACCGGGGACACATTTGTGGAACTCAATTCTTACAAATAACAATAAAACATTAATTTCGATTCAAAATTTTAAAAGCATTTTATAAAAACAGATACATATCTCAAATTCTCTTATTTTTAAAAAAAATATGCATTTTGTTTATTTATTTTTATTTTATTATTATTCTTTTAATTTTTTTGTTTACGCCGTTATTTATTTATAAATTTTATTTTCTATATTTAAAATTATGCTGAATTCAGATTAGAAAATTTGTTTTATTTCAAAGTAATTAATATTATTTCACTTTGTAATTTTTATTGTAAATTTTTTTGAACGATAGAAATTTTTTTAATGTAAATGATACAACGAGGCTAGATTGATAAGACTTTTGTCTTCTGCCTGCTCCAGTCATTTTATAAAGGAAAAAATTACTGTAAAAAAATTATTATAAAGACGACAAAATGTATAACCATTAAAAAAAAACACAAAAATCAGTATATGCATGTTGCTCTAAAAAAATACATGCATAAAGCTCTAAAAAATAGACTTCTATTATTAGGCCAGTTTAGTTTAGTTTACAAAGATGCGTAAATTTAACATTTTATATGCATCAGGTTCTTTTTATTTTTCTATTTAAATAACTAAACAGTTTTCAATATTTATACAATTGCAATCCACATTTTAAACTTACATCATAGATATTGCAGTATAAAAATTTGGAATGTGGAAAAATGTGGAAAACCATCAACGTTGCCTAGTTACTATCGAAACACTAGCAATCATTAAGCTAGCTTCAACACCAGTAAGTTGGGGATTTTTTATAATTTAAACTGCAAAAGGTAGAATTTTAAAGACACTCAAAGCAAATCTTTAAACAAATTTTTTGAAAATAATTTTATTTGTTGGCGTCGGGATAAAATAACAAACACATTACAAGACAGGATGGACAATATGAATACAATAATTAGACCTTTGATTTATGTCAAATACTAAAAACTGTTCTGTTTCCCTAAATATTTTTAACAGAAGTATAAATAAGGTCTGCCGGCCTGCTTTATAAATAGGGTCTGTGAGCCTGTTAGTAGAAAAGTTATGGTTGGTGAGTATTGTATCAATTACTGTGAAATCGTTTTAAGAAGATTTTACAATTCATGGTAAATGGAAGGTAAATCCCCCCTCATTATTAAACGGGTGGAACCAGAGGGAAACCTCTTTTATAAAAATTAAACTTCTCGAGTTTGGATGCGCGCGCATTTTTAAACATAATTTTATTGGGAGAAGAGAATGTCCGTTGTTTAAGCATTCTCAATAAACTATTAAAGCTAATAATAAATAATATTAGTAAATACTCCAAATTTTATTATTTATTAGAGGATTTTCATAGAAACTTCTAAAAAGAGGAGGTATGTTGTTTTTTTCTGAAATTACCCGGAGCTTTATTTTTAGCCTCAAAATCCGGAGATCTCCAGGGAAATCCGGTGATATGGCAATCCTATATATATATATATATATATATATATATATATATATATATATATATATATATATATATATATATATATATATATATATATATATATATATATATATATATATATATATATATATATATATATATATATATATATATATATATATATATATATATATATATATACATATATATATATATATATATATATATATATATATATATATATATATATATATATATATATATATATATATATATATATATATATATATATATATAATTATATATTATATAATTATATATATATAATTATATATTATATAGTTATATATATATACATATATATATATATATATAATTTTTTTTATGATATCAACAGCGGAATTATCATTTTCGACTCAATCACAATTAAACATCTTCATGGAAAAGTATATCCATAAAACTGTTTAAGATACTATCGCATACTAACTGTTTTCTAAATGAATGTGTGCTGGCAAAAGATGATTACAGTTTTGTCATTGGAGTCATTGCGCTGAAAAACGTATTGTATAAAAGGTAGTTATAGTAAAACATACATATTACTTTTTACAACCCTTTAAAATTTTAAAAACAGACTAGACTAAATTTTAAAAACAGAAGTAAAATCGTGCTTATAAAGAATTAGTAATGTGCAGGGTACCCGGTTCGGACCCGGAGACCCGGTAATTCGGCAGTTTTACCGGGTACCCGGTATCGGCCATTTTGTTGCAGTACCCGGCACCGGGTATCTTCAAATTGATTTTTTCTTTAGTTAAACTTTAACCATTAAACTTCTTGATATAAGTCTAAGAGTGTTATGTAGTCGATAACCACAAAATTCTATTAACTTAAAAAAATCTCACTTAAAATATTTTTTAATACACTTTTGCAAAAAAATTTATACGGATACAAAAACTGTAACGCTAAATGAAATAATTCGAGAATACGAATAAAAAGAATGGGAAAAAATGTTTTAGAATAGCTTCTTTTTATTCTGTTAGAACACAAGATAATTTTTAGCAATTTAGTTTTGAATGAAACGCTTATAATGCTTTCGAACGCTGATAGACTTTTCATTCGTATCAAGCAAAAATCATAAAAGTAGAGATATAAGGTAAATATTATACACATTTTTCATATTTTAATTTCGAGCGTATTATTAAAAAAATTATCGTTTTATATAAAATAAACGAAAACTTTGATATCGAAACTAGTTTTATTATCTTTATAGAAATTTTATTTGAAAGAAAAATTATGGCAAAAAAAAGTATAGCGTGGAAGTTCTTTGATATAAGCACGACTCCTCATATGAGTAAGTGCAAACTATGTGATAGTTTAATTACGAGAGGGGGAAAATCTTTCAAGTCTTATGGAACTACAGCAATGGTAAAACATTTGCGTTTAAAGCATTCCAAAGATTTTGAACTTGCGGAAGAAAAAAAAAAGGTTCAATCGTTGCCGTCTATTTCTGAAGCCTCAGTTGCTTCTACCACCAATACAGTACAAAGTAACATTATCAGGCTTTACACAAAAAAAAACAGTGGAATATTGATGACCACAGATCTATTCGAATCCATAAAATAATAGGAAAACTTATCACATTGGATATTTAGCCATTTTCTATTGTTGAAGATACGGGGTTTAATGAACTGATTAAAGATGCTTACCCCAATTACAAATTACCATGTAGAACATATTTCAGCCAAAACGTAATCCCTAGCATGTATGATGAACTTTTTAAAGATATAAAAATAAAAATCTCCGCGGCAAACTATTTGTCTCTGACGACAGATATTTGGACAGCGGATACTGCAAAAATCGCATTTTTAAGCATTACTGGACATTGGATAGATCTAACTAAATTTTCCCAAGAAACTGCTGTTCTTCGAGTAATTCATTTTCCAAAAAGCACACAGGTGTTCATATAAAAGAGTATTTACAAAAAGATTTAGAAACTTTTGAAATCCCGTTAAGCAAAATTCATCTTATTTTTACCGATAATGCAAGCAATATAAAGGCTGCAGTAAAAATCAGTGGAATGTTATCAATTCCATGCTTTATCCATACTTTGCAGCTATGTATTCATGACTCTATATTTAGCCAAGAAACCATCAAGGAAATTTTAACTTTATGCAGAGGAATAACGACACATTTTAATCATTCGCCAATAGCATGTGCAAAATTAAAATCAATTCAGCAGCAGTTAAGTACTGTACCTCACAAAATGAAACAAGATGTTCCAACTTGCTGGAACAGTTCATTTGAAATGCTACAAAGAACGTTTGAACAAAAAGTTCCTTTTGCCACCTATGCAGCAGTATATGATGAAATTAAACTTCCTACTAATTATCAATGGGGAATAGTCAAAAAACTTGTTCACATTCTTGCTCCATTTGAAAACTTAACAAAAAAATGTGATAGGAGGGACGAAACTTGCGCACAAATTATACCATCTGTTCTTGCATTAAAAGTTTTATTACAAAAAGCTTCATCAAGTGATATATACGCTGGGATTATGACGATGATTGATGAACTAATAAAATCTGTTACTAAAAGACTTGATAAATTTTTGCTTAATAAAATGTTATGAGAATCAACATTTTTGGATCCACGATATAAATTACTTTATTAACATCCAGATGAAAATGTTATTAAGGAGTGGGTTGAAAAAGCATGGAAAGAAATACAAGGAGCGCAAGATGTTGTTGAGTAAAAGCTCCAGCATCTAATGGATTCATTAGCATTGATGATTGTTTTAAAGATGTAGCTTCTATGAGAACCGGAAGAAAGCAGAGTGAAAGACGTTCCGAGGCAGAAAGAGAATTAGTAGATATTGAAGTTGTTACCACTGACATAATTAAGAAGCAAACAATATTAAGGTCTGCAATTACTCAAGAAATAGACAACTATTTATCTCTGCCTTTTTTAGAAAATAAAAGTTCTCCGTTTTGGTGGTGGAGTAAATGTGGAATGCAATTTGAAAAACTAAAAAAGATGGCATTAAAATATCTTACAGCACCTCTGTCATCAATAGAAAGTGAAAGTTTATTTAGTGCTGGTGGGGACATATACGAAGCAACAAGGAGCAGACTAAAAGCAGATAACGGAGAATACCTAATGTTTGTGCATTACAATCTAAAGTTAATAAAACAATTAAAATAAGATACAGCAAGTGTTGTTTAAGTTCTTTTTATTTGTTTAAATTTGTTTTATTTTAATCACTCTACAGTTGAGAAGGTCTACCTTTTTTTGCAATTCTTTATATTTCTTAATCTTTTGCTTTCCATAATATAACTTTCAATGGCGGAACTTCAAATTTTGCCCCTTTCCCCACAAAATATTATTTAGGCCCGCTCCACCAGAAAAGAAAAATAATTTTAAACTAAATATAGTTATTAAAAAATTGTTGCACAACTTCTAAAAAAGGTTAGGCCCTACAACTCAGGTCCCTTACCCTACATTGCGGGGTTTATGCTAAATAGTACGTCGGCCACATAACTTTTTGTTAGTTAGCATAAAAAGCGTATTTTGTGTGAATAGTTCAGCCCTAGAGATTTCACAAATTTTTATTCCAACTTTTAAAAAATGGACTCGGTGCCGAGTACCTGGACTCGGGCCCGGTTTTTTCAGCCGGGTACCCGGAATCGGAGACTCGGCATAAACTGGTTCCGGCACATCTCTATAAAGAATATGCTTAAAGTTTATTAATTTTGATAATTTTGATATTGATAAATCAATGCAATAGAACGTTCGAAATGGGAAAGAACGTAATACAATTTCAAAAAACAATAGAACGTAAAGTTAAAAAAAAAAAAAATTGTAGTTTATTGATAACGTTTTTATCTAGTTTTTTTATGTTCATACAATTTTAAAATTGTTATTTGGTAACTACATTGTTTTAGCTTGACTAAATGAAAAATTATTTAATTCAAAAATAAATTATTAAATTACAGCATTTATATTATCTTATCAATCCGATTAACAATAGCTTTGAAGCATAGGCGAATCGAGGATTTTTGCCAACCGAAACTTACAGCATTAAGTGTTAGCCTAACGTGAGTACATCTATTTCCGTTACACAAACTCTACTGTAGTTAAAAAATCCATTAAAAAAAAATCAAAAACAACACCTAATATTTAGCCTTAAAGTTTACTATGTAACTTTTTTTTTTACTAACAGACAGGAGTCAAAAGATATATATATATATATATATATATATATATATATATATATATATATATATATATATATATATATATATATATATATATATATATATATATATATATATATATATATATATATATATATATATATATATATATATATATATATATATATATATATATATATATATACACTGAGTCGTAACATACACATGCATGCTGCATTTTTTAATTCAAGTAAATACCAAAAAAGTGCACAAATTATTTATTATTGAAATCACTAATATGAAAATTGAAACGATTGACGTCAAGAAATTGTTTCGTCATCCAAGTTTTATTTTAAAATCTATTGTTTTACAATCGAGCTTTTCATGTTCTAATGAAATTGCGCTCAAGAAGAAAAAGACGATTTTTTGGAAAAAAATTATAATAAGTATAAAGTACAAAATTCGAACAAAAACAAAAATACTGCATAAAAAATATGTAAAAATATGTATTTTAACATGTATTAATTTCTTTAAAATGGTTTTATACAAGGATCACTTTAAAAAAAAATTATTAAAAGATATTAATTAGAAAGCGTTATTTTTTATAAGTTAAATTAAATCAACATTTTTGCATCCTAACCTAAAAAACATTGTTTCGATTGTATATTCTGATTTCCTTTGCATAATCAGTAATATAAAAGCCTAAATGTTTAAAAAATTAGTTTCAAAAACAAATCCATTGACTTGCGGCGAATCCACTTATTATTACGATACTTATTAAATTAATAATAACAATAATAACTACAAAAAAACTTAATTGTGGATTTTATAACTTTTAAAAAAATTTTATAACTTTAAATCCAATTTATTCCTAAAACCTACGAACGTGTTTAGTAAAAAATAAACAAAGGTGTTCTAAAATATACAAAACGGTTCTAGGAAAAAATCCCCCGGGAAAAAATCTCTCGGGAAAAAATCCCCCCGAAATAATCCCCCGAGGAAAAAACTTCCCTGAAAAATTCCCCCTGAAAAAAAAAATTATCTAAAAATTTTATTTTTTATATAAAAAATTATATTTTTCAAATAAGATTTTTTTTTTTCTATTGTTTCGCAGTGCAAGCTATTAAAGTTTCACCACTTATATGGAACCATCAGGCCGTAATAGTCTCAAGAGAAGAAAGAATTGTTTTATATAAGTGCTAGAAAGTGCTAAATAAATTATAATAATTGGTCAGATTTCCAGTATTGAAAGGTAGTGTTTAAGAGGGGAGTCTTATTCAATGCCAGTGTTAGGTAATTTTGTGTAAATGCTGTGCATTTTAGTAGAGCTGTATTGAGTAGTGGATGTCTTATTGGAAGCATAAGAAAACAAAGATGATAGCAGAGTGAGGTAAAAGAACAATTGGACAGAAGTCCAGAGAAAATAAATAAGAGTCTCTAAGATGAAAAGTTATAAACATAAAAAAGAAAAAGTCATAAACAATAATGGTTTGGCAGTGATTTTAAAATGGTCAGTAATAGCTACATTGTAACTGTCACGTGACTGAATGTATATAAAATGCCAAACTTTGAGAGGAATTATTTGTTTTATATCTGTTTCATGCAGTCTGAATTGAGTTGATAATTATGTATGAATAGATGCCTCCCAAAACAGTATATATGTAGGAAACCCTCTAGCTCTCATTCCAGATTGGTATCCTACAAAAGTATCCAACTTGGGTAAGCACTGGGTATCTTTTTTTGACAAAGTATCCTTGTGTGTTATACTAAAAGGACTTGCCCTTGGGGTCCATATAAAAAAATTTTGTTTTTCATATAAGATAATTTTATTTTTCATATAAGAATTTTTTTTTTACATGATGACCTCCTTTAGTCTGTAGGATTTCAACTCTGTTTATGAATATTTTTTTTAAGTATATCTAGGAATTTCCATAATGTCGGGTGAGATGCCATGCAAAGTGATTGATTTTGCCAATGCCAACCCTCAGATGTGACCTTTTTTGACTATAAACTAGACTGTTAGGTTTGTTGAAAATATTAATACGCGGTTAGCGTCCGTAACACCGCTGTCAAATATAAGAAACTGTTCAACGTTTTATGATTGCTGGTAATGTTCTGGTAAAAAAATGTAAAAAATGTAAATAAATAAAAATAATTTGAAAAATAAAATGTTTTTTCCAAGGGGTTTTTCCTCAGGGGATTATTTTGCGGGACTTTTTTGCAGGGGGATTTTTTCCGGTTACCATACAAAACATATATATATATATATATATATATATATATATATATATATATATATATATATATATATATATATATATATATATATATATATATATATATTTATATATATATATATATATATATATATATATATATATATATATATATATATATATATATATATATATATATATATATACATATATATATATATATATATATATATATATATATATATATATATATATATATATATATATATATATATATATATATATATATATATATATATATATATATATATATATATATATATATATATATATATATATATATATATATATATATATATATATATGTAGTTGAATCCCGTTAACTCCGTCCCTGGATAAGTCGGACTTTTACTAAGTCGGACGGAAATTCAGTTTCCCTTGAACATTCTATCAAATTACTGTAAACATACGTCATACCTGTCGTACCCTGGTTAACTCGGACCATTCGCTAACTCGTACTGTTTTAAGGTCCCTTCGGCAAAACTTTGCCTTAAACATGTTGCTAGAAAACATGTCGATTGGTGAAGCTTCCAAAATTTTTAAAGTACCTAAAACAACATTTTGTAAGCTAAAAAGTAAACACTGTAAATCAGTAGGGTGTCCTATTGCCCTTAGCATTGATGAGGAACTTTGTTTTGAAAATCACTTTTATTTTGAGCGCATACAATAACAAAATTTCGAATACTTTAATAAAAATTCCAAACTTTAAACGCTCAAAAATAAAATACTTTTGGCTTAAATATAATTAAACATAGCTAAACATTTCCACGGATCTTTCGATTCAGTTAAGCTTCAATTAAATTCTATTTTTTAGTTAAATATTACATTAAAAACTCAAAAATATCAATTAAAATTCAAAACTTAGAACGTTCAAAAATTAATTACTTTTGCGTGAAAATTAATTTAACGGACTAAACATTTTCACTGATATCTTCGATTCGGTTATACTTTGATGAAGTTTTATGTACTAAAAATGATAAAAGTTAGCTATCAAATAGAACTATTACTGAGAAAAATACAAAATTCTTAAGGACAGAGAAAAATACAAAATTCCTAAGGAACTCGAAAAAGGAGAATCATCTGTATCTATATCAAAGAAATTGTTTTTTTTTTTGTTTTTTTTTTTTTTTTTTTTTTTACATTTTAAGTTTACATTTGTC